GAACAGCGGGATGTAAAAACCAAAATTCAGTTATGAAAGGAAAATTTGCTACTCTGCCAGGCCAGTTGTGAGGTATTTTATTTACCTTGAAAACAACTTTATATTTCATTGATTATTTGATTACTTTGTTCACTCATCAATAAAAATCACTCATGTGTTACATATTTATATACTACCTACTCAAAGTAGGAGTAGGTGAAAAATGATCATCCTCCCTTCCAGCTGGTTCCTAAATTTATACAGAAAGTGTATTATACCTCTCGATTTACAAGACTAATGAAAGTCATTCAAATTTGCATAATGTACTTATCAGAGCAGGATCAGTTCAAAGACTTCATTTGATAGGACTTATGGATGTACATTTTGTTAAGAATTTCATTAGAATGTATTTAGAAGTACATGGATAAACAGACATTGCTGTCTGAAGATATATTTTAGTCAAGCCAAATCTATCTGATTTTGTATTTCCACGTCATAACAGTGATGGCCCTATTCCTTAGTCAATGCTAGGAACACATGTTTTAACAGGTGGATGATTTAGGTAGACTCCAACTCATGCAATTCTCAATTTACTTAGGTTGGAGTGCATTATAATAGACCATGTCTTAGGGACTGAGTTGGCAATAATTCTTAGATACTCTATAGTAATTTTAAGATATCAACCTCAAGTGTTTAAGATCTTAAAACATGTAATTCCCATTTTGTTTTTGATCAGAAACGTTAACAGGATGGTAAAACACACATGGAATTTTGGTTAAAATTTTATGCATTATTGAGACTCTTGTCTGGTTTTTCTCATCACCTATAAGCTCAATTTATAGTTGTTTGGTCATAGTCTGAATTGCCATTTCATTACCTCACATCTTAGAAGCAGGAGAAGAGCATTAAACCTAAATGTGGCTTTGACATTGATGATAATAGTTCCTTGTGTACTAATATTTTGTCTTAGCTATTATTTCATCTGTAGAGCTGAAGAATAAAATCAGCATGAGAAAATGTGTTCCATAAAAACTCAACTCTCTAAATGACACTTTACAGCCATGTGGTCCATTTTAATGAACAATTTCCTAGATGCTTTTTAATTCCTAAAGATATGCTCACACATGGGATGTTTACTTTTCAGTAGTCTTCTTTCAGCTTCACATGAAAAAAAAATGATTTGGTATTCATAAGCAAAATTCACTACATAATTTATAAATTTAAGCTCGTTATGAAGACAGCCATTTTTTAATCTGAGGTTTTGTAGCTTTATTTATAGAAATAGTTATTTCTGAGTCCACTCTAATGTACCAACATGATTTTTATTTTAAATTATTCATTATTCCTGTTCTCTCCCATTTTTGCCCTAGAGCATTGGTTGACATTTCATAGAGAGTTGGTTGGCATAGGCTGGAAAATATGTAATGATAAGAATCACCTGCTCTTGAATTCCCATTATATAATAGTCGTGATTCAGGCAGACTTTCCATAAGCGTTTGATTTGGAATGAGAAGTTTTCTTCTTCCATGACCTGTGATTAAAATGTAGCATTTTGGTAAATAAATAGAAGATAATTTCTGCATAATCTCTCCGTGAATCACACCTGGTGAAGCAATGTAAATTTTTGACCTGTATTATATAAGCAGTAACATATGTAATTGGAAATATATTTTAAGATCAAGTACAATAAACTTTTTTTTAATGCTTTGTAGCTTAAAGTAAACTAAATGCTAACATGAAACAAGATGCATATTGAGAATTTTGCTTTACTTAATGCTCCTCGAAGGAATTCCAATAAAAGGAAATCCACTAAAACTACATTTGAATATTTTCTTTTAATGAGTTATCATCATGAAGGTAAATATTTATCAGTTGCTGTAGCATGATAGTAAGGACAGGGAATAGACTGTATTTCATTTCATAGTTGAAAATGAAATTTACTGATACAATAGTGTTTGGTTAATAGCCTTACCTGTTGCATTAACCTTTATACATCTTTATGGTTAAAGTTACAATTTTTAATTAATTGACTGTGGAATCATGTACCCAGTTCCTGATGATAAGTTTGTGTTCTTTTCTACATACTGCAGTAACTGATACATTTTCCCATGTGTAGTTTAGTTTGTAAATACATACATATCTATTTGTAAAGATATGTACGTATATGTACATTGTTTCTCTGCACTATGAATAGAAATTATATTATTCCAAAGTCATGCATGCAAGATGGCATTTGCTACAACACTTTGTCTTTTAGTAGATCAAGACAGTTGAGCTTCTTAGTCCATTCTGACTGCTATAACAAAAATGCTATAGACGGGGTAGCTTAAATAGTGTAAGTTTATTTCTCACAGTTACTGGAGTCTGGGAAATCCAAGGTCAAGATGCCCAAAGTGACATTTGAATTAGAGAGGGCCTTCCTCCTGACTTGCAGATAAACATCTGTATACACAGCAGAGAAAGAATGAGAATGAAAATAAATTCTCTCATGTCTCTTTTTGTAAGGGTGATAATCCCATCATGAGGGGCTCCACTCTTTGACCTGATTACCTTTTTTTTTTTTAAGATTTTATTTATTTATTTGAGAGAGAACCAGAAAGAGAACAGAGAGGGGAGGGGCAGAGGAAGAAGCAGGCTCCCCACTGAGCAGGGAGCCTGATGCAGGGCTTGATCCCGTGACCCTGGGATCATGACCTGAGCCAAAGGCAGCTGTCTTAATGGACTGAGCCACCTACGTGCCTCCCCCAATTACCTTCTGAAGCCCTCATCTCCAAATATGATGATCACATTGGTGATTAGGGTTTTAATATATGAATTTGGTGGGGGGAGGCACAAACATTCAGTTCATAGCAGCTTCCCACAAGGACTTTATAATTTTGGATATCTATCCTATTAATTGAATTGATGTTAGAAGGATTGAAATAGAGCCAAATCTCATCTTTTATTGTAAAATTTGAAGTATCTTATGTTAATGAAGCTAAATCCTTAAAAATGTTTCATGTGAATTTATCAATTCTAATATATTTTAGTTTTGAAAACATCTTCAGGGATCTGTTCTTCAAAGTGGTAGTTTTTATTTGCATGTATACTAGGGAGATGGAGGCATAATTTTTGTATTTTGCTAACATCTTTATATCTACTATTTCACCGTTTTTGTCCATTGTCAATATTCTGTCTCATGTTGTTCCTTCCTCTCTCCACACTTCTTCTCTCCACACTCTCTCTCCTTCCTCTCTCCCTCTAATTTAGTTTCATTCATCATCACTGTTCCACACACTCCACGGTGACCTGTCTGTGATGTCTCCTCTTGCAACATTTGATATAGTAAGACCTCTAAGCACTCTCTGGAAATAAAGGCTTGGCATGTGACAGATACTCAACAAATATTGGTTAATATGTGAATGGAGAAAAGAAAAAACACTCTCCCTATTTTCTCTCTTTGATGTTGTACTAGCCGTATTCTACTCACTAGACTATTTCCTTCTTTGACTCTCCCTCTCCCTTCCTATGTGCAGCACCTCCAAGTTTCAGTCCTCAGTTATTAAATTTTCTCTGCCCATGTTCTTTCGCTTAAAGAAACTTCAACTATCACCTCTATGTGAATAACTCCTTTCCTTTTCCCCAGAACAAATTTCTCATGAGCTTCAATTATGTATTTCCAGCTGTCTTCTGAACATTTCTATTTGGATATGCTGCCATCTTTTCAGACAAAACTGGTTCAAAACCAAACACACGATGTTCCTCTTCAATGATATCTCTTCTGTGTTTTCTTATTTTTGTCACAATATTGCCTTTTTATTGGCCATTATTCATTTTTATTTTCTTCCAGTCACTATACATATTAAATATTTATTTCAACTCAGAAAATATTCTGAGTTGTTCTTCCTTTCCCTTAGCAATGTTAGTAAACTCCTTATTAGTGTCCCTAAAATAAACCATCAAGTCATCCCATCCTATAATGTACTGCCAAAGTTTATTTCATAAACTACCTCTTTCTTCATGAATCTCCTTTAGTGTAAAACCTTCAGGAGCTACCCACTACCAGTGGAATTAGTTTCCAAAAGCTTTTTTGTTATTTATTTATTTATTTATTTATTTATTTATTTATTTATTTATTTATTTATTTTTAAAGATTTATTTATTTTAGAGAGAGCACACATGCGTGCAAGAGTCGGGGGATGGGCAGAGGGAGAGAATCTCAAGCAGACTACCTGCCCCTGCTGGACTCCATCCCAGGACCCATGAGATCATGACCTAAACCAAAACCAAGAGTCAGATGCTTAACCTACTGAGCCACTCAGGTGCCCCTCCAAAAGCTTTAAAAAAATTATTAGACAATTTTAGTTAAAAAAATGTATATAGGACCCAAACAAAGAAGAGTAAATCTAAAGCTGTTTTGAATGAAAATAATTCAGGCTCCTATTTGGGCTTTACCTATACATTTTTCCCTAGGCACTTCTGTGGAATTCTGGGACACTTTAGAATACAATTTGAAACCTATTGGCTCTAATACAAAATCCTTATTTAGGGTTAGGCCCTAGTCCATTCAACCAGTTTGTTCATTACATCCAATCGTTCCATGTGAATTCCATCTTTTTACCTTGGCTTCTATCATGTTTAGCACCCAGAATGCTATTCAACTACTTTTTTGCTTCTTAAGTCTTATTCATATTTCCAAATGCATTTCAAGCACTACATCTTTGCTGAATTTATGAATGCCTTTTTAGGAAATAAAAGATTTGGTTGTCTTTTTTCATGATGTATATGTATCTTGGGAGGGTAGTGTTTTCTTTTTTGGGAAAATACTTCTGTATTACATTTAATTATTAGATAGACAAATGTCACTTTTTTGTGCTTATTATATTTCAAAACCCTAATCTGAATGATTTTAAGCATTCAAAAAAAATGGGTCCAAGATTGTTTGATGCTAAAATTATACATTAAGAGCACAAATCTAAGAATATGACCCAAATCAATAATTTTAACATACTTTATTATTTTCTACATTTGTTTTCTTTTAGGGCCTGCAACATATGATCCTGTTTTAAGGAAATCTTGCTCCATACCCTTATTTGTTAAAGCATCAAAGCGTTTTAAAGATTCCAAAGAGATTACTCCTGGTCCTGCGACATATGAGGTTTGTCAATAATATATCTCTTTTATCAGTAACAAAAGAATAGAATAATTTCCAGAAAGTACTGAAAATGTCTACATTTTTTATAGTCTACATGTTTTATTCATATTTGACTAATCAAAATCTTTTGGCTATGGAAGGCATTTTTAAAAAATTATTTATTTGTTGAGCAAGAGAGAGCATGAGCTGAGGGGAGGGGCAGAGGGAGAGGGAGAGAGAGAATCTTAAGCAGGCTCCACACCCAGCATGATCCTGAATTGGGGCTTGATCTCCCTGAGATCAAGACCTGGGCTGAAATCAAGAGTCTGACACTTAACTGACTGAGCCACCCAGGTGCCCCAGAAAGGCATTTTTGAATACATTCTGACATTTTTTTTAAAGATTGATTTATGAATTATTTAATTTATCAATTTATCTATAAATGTCTACTACAGCATTGATATAGATATATATATATATATATATTTACACCCCTGCAACTTTAAAAACTTAGTTGTTTACATACACAACTGGAAATTTTCAAGTATTTATTGCAATTATGAATTTATTAGAGGGCTCAGAAGGTAGAGTATTGGTCCAGTAAAATCATATATTGATCTTTTAACTTCTTTTAATAAGTATAGATGCTGTAGCTTAGATTCATAATAAATAAAGGACTCTTTTAAGCTCTGGGCCTTCTGATTATAAGGAGGCTTAAGTAAATCTGCAGGTTTTAAAAATTGTGTTCACAATTGACCTTAATTCCTCATCTAGGATGAATAAGTCCCCCATTCCCACTCTACTAATTATTAAAAGTGAAATATTTTATAGTGGCCTATAGCAAGTAATTTAAGAATTAATACTCAGTGCAAACCACAGTGAATATTGTTTTTTGGGTTAGTTAATGACAAGTTCATTTTTCTTGAATGTATGCTTTCTACTTATTTAAAATGTCATAATCTAAATAATTCTTCAGCATTCTGCCAAAGCAAATTCATAATATAACATCCGGAAAAAAAGAAAAAGAAAATAAAATGAATGATAAAAGAGTTGTTATTTTACTTGTGGGTTGTTGATTCCCTCAAAAGACCACTGCTAATTTCTACTGATTAAGCAATGCTAATTTTATTTACTTCAGAAAGGAGAATCTGCTAGACAGTCTTAATAGTTTTTCAGAAGGTGCAAGTCAAGGGACTTGTGATGTTTTAGGACCTGGGCTGTGTGATGTAAGACAGGTCTCACAAATGGGGATTTGGTTGGGGTTGGGCAAAGTTTATGACTTGTTTACTTTGAGTTATTGGGCGCAGCGAGGGAGTGTCCTGAAGCAAGTCTTGATCAGTAAGCTATCAGTCTTCATAAGTTAGGTGGTATAGCTGTTCATAGTCTGATCATATTATCATATTAAATCATTAGCTGAACCCTTCTCCCCTACTTTTTAAAACTGATTTTAGTGGTATTTACAGATAATAAAGTCAGTAAATCTAATGTTATCCTTTTATTTTGTGATACATTTATCATTGAAGATGTTTTTACTAATCTTCTAGTATTTAAAGATGTTCTTTTTATTTCATAAGATTTTATAATTATATTTATACTTCCTCATACTCATTTACTAGAGCAAATTATTTTTTATGTCAAAGGAAAACATTTATGGGGTTAGTAATGATGTTTATTCAGGTGTTGCCTGAAATTTCAAACTAATATATCCTATATATATACTGCACTGCAAGGTAACTTTCTTGTTGAGAAATGAGTAATATTTTTTGCCTTCCAACACCATTTGTTTTTCTTTAATATTTGAAAACTTTTTTGAACAGGTAATTTTCCTTAAAAATTTTCCTTCTTATAAGAAAAAGTTATTTTTAATCAGATAGGCCAATAAGTTACTAGGTCCTTTTATTATAACTTGCTCTTATTTTTTAGTTTGATACTTTTTTCTCTATTGACTTTAGTAAGTTTAAGTTGGTAACTCTTGAGAAGATATTTGCCTAAAAATTTTACTTTTTTTTTTTAACAGAAAAAGATGATTCTAGAAATTTAGAACATTGTTTTCAGACTGCAATATTATGTTCTACTTAAAAAGTGCTTAAATTTGTAGGACTTGTGCCATCATTGGTTATAGGTTTTCAGTGTCACATATGCATACTGGATCCAACTTATCCAATGTGGGTGGTACTTACAATAATATCTATAATAGCTCTCTTAAGTTACACAACCACTTTTGCAAAGTCTGCTTGCCATTTTTATTCTTGTGTGAATAATCTTTTGAGTTTCCCAGGCAGAATTAGTGTTTCCCCCCCCCCTTTTTTTTTTCTTTCTTGGTGTGTGTGTTGGGGGAGGTGGTCAGAGTTGTCAATGGAACATTATTCACTATCTTTCAATTACAAGCTAATCTGTTTGTCTCTTGCTCCTTCTCGTTGTTGATATTTATTGGTTCACTATCACTGACCCTTTTGAAGATATAATGAAAGCTAGGGGCTCTTTACTTAGGGAGAAAATTTTGCATGTATGCTTATAACAAAAACCTGTGTATACAATTTTAGATGGTTTATTAATCTACAAAAGCTCACTTATGGCTTCAATCAAGAACTCCCAATAGTAGATTCTGAACTCCATGAGAGCAAGACTTATTTACTTTTATTTTATTAGGTCTTCAACCACAGAATCTGGCATATAGTAGCATATAAATGCTTATAGTATAAAGCAACAAAATGGTTAATGCTAGGATTTTCTTCCCAGGACTAAATCACTAATCTTTACCTATGAATAAAGATTTACTTACTAACTTAATTCTCAGTGAGACGAGTATGTATATGTCCTTTTAAAACAGCAGCAGGTTTTACTGACTAATTCACATTCTCTTGTTGAGTAAGTCTTCTCACTAAATGCCAACTTTTTATGGTTTACATGAGGTACTACATTATTTTCTGGAATTTAAAATTGACAGTTATTGTATGAGAATATTTTAAAAACTAGATAGAAGAAATTTCAATGAATTTAACTTTAAAAAATCCTCATTTAAATATATAGAAAAATTTAAATACACCTCTCTTTAAAACAAACTCTACAGAAATTAATTGAAATTTAATAATACAAGTATTTTAAAATATTTTTCCTACTCTTTGAGATATAATTGACATATGTATGTATTATAAATTGTTGCCACAATGAGGTCATAATAAATGATGCCATCACCTTGCATAGTTACCATTTTTTTTGTGTGTGTGGTGATAACAGTTAATACCTACTCTTAAAGGTTAAGACCTATTACCTTGAAGTAATAACAGTATTGTTAAGTATAGTCACCACCATGCAGTATATAAGATCTCCAGAATTTATTCATTTTCTAATAGAAGGTTTATACCTTTTACCCAATTTCTTTCTATTTCTTCTTTTTCCTAGTCCCAGGCAACCACCATTTTACTATATCTCAATCAGTTCAACTGTTACATACAAGTGAGAACATACAATATTTATCTTTCTCTGTCTAACCTATTTCACTTAGTATAATGACTTCAAGATCCATCCATGTTGTCACAAATGGCAGGATTTTTTTAAATGGTGGAATAATATTCCATTGTTATTCACACACACCACAACTTCTTTATCCATTCATCCATTAATGGATACTTAGGTTATCCTATATCTTTACTACTTTGAATAATGCTACAGTGACAGGGGAGTATAGATGTCTCTTCAAGATAATAATTCATTTCCTTCAGATATATACCCAGAAGTGGAACTGCTGGATATAGTAGTCCTATTTTTAATTTTTGAGGAATTTCCATACTGTTTTCCATAGTGGCTGCACCAATTTACACCCCCACCAACAGTGCACAATAGTTCCCTTTTATCTACATTCTTACCAACATTTGTTATCTCTTGTCTTTTTGATGTTAACCATTCTAACAGATGTGAGGTGATATCTCATTGTGTTTTTGACTTCCCTGATGATGAGTGATGTTGACACCTTTTCATGTACCTGTTGACCATTTGTATATCTTCTTTGGAAAAATATTTATTCAGTTCCTCTGCCCATTTTTTAGTTTTTTTTCTTCTACTGAGTTGTATGAGTTCCTCATATATTTTTTATATTATCCCCTCATCAGATAGATCGTTTGCACATATTTTCTCCCATTCCATGGGTTGCCTTTTCATTTTTTTACTGTTTCTTTTGCTGAACAGAAACTCTTCAGTTTGATGTAGTCCTGCTTGTTTATTTTAGTTACACTTGGTATCATATCTAAAAGAATCATTGCAAAGACTAATGTCAAGGAGCTTCTTCCCTATGTTTTAGGAGTTTCATGGTTTAGGTGTTAGATTTAAGTCTTTAATTCAATTTTTTTTGTGAGTAGTGTAAGTTAAGGGTGCAATTTTATTCTTTTGCAGGTGGCTATCCAGTTTTCCTAAAACCATTATTACAAGAGACTATCCTTTACCCATTGTGTATTGTTGGTGTCCTTATCAAGGATTAGTTGATCATACATACAAAAGTTAATTTCTGGGCTCTCAATTCTATTGTCTTTGTATATATGTCTGTTTTTAGGCTGGTACTATACTGTTTTGATTACTATAGCTTTGTAATATATTTTGAAATTAGAAAGTGTTATGCCTCTAGCTTTGTTGTTCTTTCTCAGGATTGCTTTGGCTGCTTGGGGTCTTCTGTGGTTTCATACAAATTTTAGGACTGTTTTTTTCTATTTCTGTGAAAATTGCCTTTGGGATTTTGATAGAGATTGCATTGAATGCACATTTTAACATTGGTAATTTTTCTAGTTCATGGACATGGGATATATTGCTATTTATTTGTGTCTTCTTCAAGTTTTTTCATCATTGTTCTATAATTTTCAGTGTAAAGATCTTTAACTTTATCCCTAAGTATTTTATTATTTTTGATGCTATTATAAATGGGATCATTTAAAAAATATTTTTGGATAGTTTGTTGTTAGTGTATAGAAATGTAACTGATTTTTTGTATTTATTTTGTATCCTGTAACTTCACTGAATTCATTTATTATTTCTAACAATTTATTTGTGGCATCTTTAGGATTTTTCTATATATAAGATTATGTCATCTGCAAACAGATAATTTCACTTCTTTCTTTCTAATCTGGATGACATTTATTTCTTTTTCTTGCCTAACTGCTCTTGGTAGGACTTCTAGTGCCAAGTTAAATAGGCATGGGTAGAGTGAGCACCTTGTCTTGGTCTTGATTTTATCAAAAAAGCTTTCAACATTTTACTACTGAATATAATATTACCTGTGGGCATGTTATATGTGATCTTTATTATACTGAGGTATGTTCATTCTATATCCAATTTGTTGAGGGTTTTTATCATGAAAGGATGCTGGATTTTGTTAAATATGTTTTTTTGCATGTATTGAGATGATCATATGATTTTTATCTTTTATTCTGTTAATGTGTTACATCACATGTATTGATTTGTGCATGTTGAACCATCCTTGCATCCCAGAGATAAATCTCACTTGATCATGATATAAGATCCTTTTAAGGTGCTGTTGAATTCAGGGTGGTAGTATTTTGTTGAGAAATTACATCATCAGGTATTAATGGCCTGTAATTTTCTCTTCCTGTAGTATCCTTATGTAGCTTTGCTATCAGGGAAATGCTGGCCTTGTTAAATGAGTTTGAGAGTGTTATCAGTTCATCAAATTTTTGGAAGAGTTTGAGAATGATTGGCATTGATTCTTTAAAACTTAAGTAGAAACTATCTGATCCTGGGCTTTTCTTTGTTGGGAGGTTTTTGATTACTGATTTAATCTTCTTTCTAGTTGTAGGTCTATTCAGATTTTCTATTTTTTTCATAATTTAGTGTTGGTAGGTTGTATGTTATAGGAATTTATCCATTTCTTCTAGGTTATTCAATTTCTTGGTGAATAATTGTTCATAAGAGTTTCTTATGATACTTTTTGTTTCTGTGGTGTCAGGTGTAATGTCTCCTCTTTGATTGATGATTTTGTCTTCTCTTTTTTCCTTAGTCTAGCTAAAGGTTTGTCAATTTTCTTTTTTTTTTAAGGTTTTATTTATTTATTTGAGAGAGAGAGTGAGAAAAAGAGAGCATGAGCAGGGGGAGGAGCAGAGGGAGAAACAGACTCCCTACTGAGTGGGGAGTCTGATGCATGTGATCCCGGAACTCTGAGATCGTGACCTGAGCTGAAGGCAGTTGCTTAACCAACTGAGCCACCCAGGTGCCCCAGGTCTGTCAATTTTCTTTCTTCCTTTTTCTTTAAAAAAAAAAGCGGACTTTTTGTTTCATTCATCTTTTGTATTTTTTTTCTGATCTGTATTTCATGTACTTCTGTTCTGATCTTTGTTGTCTCCTTCCTTCTGCTAACTTTGGACTTAATTTGTTCTTTTTCTAGTTTCCTAAGATGTAAAGTTAGGTTTTTTTTTTTTTATTTGTGATCGTTTTTGTTTCTTCTTAATGTAGGTATTTAATGCTATAAACTTTCCTTTCAGAACTGCTTCTACTACATCTCATAAATTTTGGTATGTTGTGTTTCCATTTTCATTTGTTTCAAAATATTTTTTGACTTCTCATTTGATTTCTTCTTTGACCCATTGGTTGTTCAAGACAGTGTTGTTTAATTTCTACATATTTGTGAGTTTTTCAGTTTTTTCCCTTTTACTGATTTCTAATTTCATACCATTGGGGTTGGAAAAATATATTTGTTATATTTCAATCTCCTTACATTTGCTAAGGCTTGTTTTGTGGCCTAACACAATCTGTCTTGGAAACTGTTTCTTGTGCATTTGAAAATAATACATTCTTTTGCTATTGCATAGAATAATCCATATATGTCCATTAGGTCCTTCTGGTCTAAGGTGTAGTTCAAGTCCAATATTTTCTTTTTTTTTTTTAATTTATTTATTTTTTTTAATTTATTTGCGAGAGAGAGAATGAGAGACAGAGAGCATGAGAGGGAGGAGGGTCAGAGGGAGAAGCAGGCTCCCCGCCAAGCAAGGAGCCTGACGCAGGACTCGATCCCGGGACTCCAGGATCATGACCTGAGCCGAAGGCAGTCGCTTAACCAACTGAGCCACCCAGGCGCCCCAAGTCCAATATTTTCTTATTGATTTTTTATCTGGGTAATCTATCCATTTTTGAAAGTGATGATTGAAGTCCTCTACTCTTACTGTATTGTCTGTTTCTCCCTTCAGATCTATTAGTGTTTGCTTAATACATTTAAGTACTCTGTTGTTGGGTGCATATATATTTACAATTGTTATATCCTCTTGATGAATTGACTGCTTTGTGATTATATAATGACTTTGTCTCCTTTTATAATTTTTTACTTAAAGTCTATTTTTTATGATATAAGTATAGCTACCCTTGCTCTCTTATTTCCTACTTGCATAGAATATCTTTTTCTGTCCCTTCACTTTCAATCTATGTGTATCCTTAAACCTGAAATACCCATATAGTTGTGTATTTTTTTAAAATCCATGTAGACACTCTATGTCTATGATAGGTAAGGACTTAACTCATGCCACTTTATTATTTTATAGCTGTTTTATCTTGTACTTGTACAGCTGCAGAAGCCAAAGCTGGCTATGGTCGTGTCCCCTAGGGTTTGACATGGGCAGGGAGGGACTCAAGTGGCTGGTATCTTACACTTGTTGAGCCACAGATACCTTGGATGAATGCCACTGTGGTCCCAGATTCTGGCAGGGGTGGTTGGGGGAGTGGAGGGAGTGAGAAGGGACTCATGTGGCTGGCATCAGTGAATTCAAATACTTGTGAGGGGAAAGCTAGTGAAATCTACTGGGGGTCTGCAACAGCTGTGCTGGCCTTAGGCTTTGTCAGTGGTGAAATCTGAATTTGTCTGCATAGTAGGTCTCTGTGAACTGTAATTGCTTATGATGCATGTATGCTAATAATAGCCTCTGTTTTTCTTTCTTGTTTCTAGCCAGCTCTAGATGTCTTGGTTTTGTTGGTCTGGGTAGGGTGAAACCAAAGCAGGACTTTCCTACAGTACCCCAACAAGCTGGAGAAGCTGGTCACTTGCTCTGCTCTTATTTTGTTGGTGAGTGAAACTCTTTCATGCTGGGAAGTTGCTTCTTGGCTTTGAAAAATGCCACTTGGAGCATGGAAAACCAGGCAAAATTGAGTTGTCTTCTTTCTCTTTTTGTGCTATTTTTCTCAGGTTTTTGGTTACAATAGTGTGCTGTTAAAATTTCCTAACTGAACTCTAGACGTCTCCCAGAGCTGTTTTTGTTCATGGGTAGCTGTCCAATCATTGATCTTTGTGAGAAAACAGGGAATCTGTGTTCTCCTACATCACCATTTTTTTTTTCACTGAAATATCAGTAATTTTTTCTCCCAGCACTTTGAATTTATCATCCCACTTTCTTCTGTCCTCCAAGGTTTCTGCTGAAAAATACATAGACAGTTTTGTGAGGGTTCGCTTGTATGTGTGACAAGTCACTTTTCTCTTACTGCTTTCAAAATTCTCTTTGTGTTTGACTTCTAACAAGTTGATTATAATGTATCTTGCAGATGTTTTGGATCCATTTCTCGGAGGGATATTTTGGGCTTCCTTAATCTGATTTCCATTTCCTTCCCCAGGTCTGGGACATTTTTAGCTACTCTTTCTTTGAAAAAATTATCTGGTCCTTTCTCTGTGTCTTCTCATTATGGAACTCCTGTAATGCCTATATTGATTCATTTGCAGATGTTTTTATGAGGCCCTTAAGGTTTCTTCATTATTTTTCCTTTTTCTTTTTGCTCCTCTGACTGAATAATTGCCAATGATCTGTCTTTGTGTTTGTATTCTTATCTTCTGCTTGATCTAGTATGATATTGAAATCCTCTAATGAATTTTTCAGTTCGGTTGTACCTTCAACTGCATGATTTCTGTTTGCCACTTTTTAATATTTTCTCTTTGTTGAAATTTTCACTTTGTTGATGCATTGTTCTGACCTTGATGAGCATCTTTATATTGGTTATTTTGAATAGTCTGACAAGTAAATCATATGTCTCCATTTCACTAGGGTCAGTTTCTAGAGATTTATCTTGTTCCTTTACTTGAAACATATTTCTCTGTTTCTTCATTTTCCTTGATTCTCTGTTTTGGTGCCTGTGCATTAAATAAAACAGCCACCTTTTCTAGTCTTCATGACTGACCTCATACAGGAGAAGACCCTTACCAATAAGTGCAACCAGAGATTCTGAAGACATCTCAACCTTTGTGCTAGTTCAACCTCCTTCCTTTCTTCTTAGTAGCCTGCAAACATCTAGAGTATGTTGGATCCCATCAGTGCATGGAGATAAATGAGACAGATGCAAGTTCCTCAGGCAGTCACCAGAGAAGTTGAATCATTAGATGTTCTTTCTAAATCTTTCCTTCTTCAGTGATAAATTGGGATCTGAGTTTTTTAGCCTGTTTGCTCTGCACTGATCTGGGATGAGAGGCTCTGACAACTAGTTGTGTTCCAGATTAAATGTTGTCTTTGTTTTCACTAGCTCCTAGGCTTTATATATTTTAGTGCATTTTTTGTTTTGCTTTGTTTCATTTTGTTTTTATTTACTAATGTAATAAAGAAGAACAGTTCTTTGGATTTCTCAAAAGGAGTATAAGTACATTGGAAGGGAGAGAAATTTACCAGGTGAGTCTCATAATTGCAAATTCAACTAGAAGAGATGAGATTTGAGGAGAGAGAAAATATCTCCAAGTCATTGGATTTTGTTCATTATTACTTGACAAAATGTATGTTAGATATCAATGGTTAGTCTCAGATGAGGCTCCGTTCAGCTTGATATTAGTGTATTTTTGTCTCAGATTCTGACAAATGAAGCTTTTATTATGAGAAGTTTCTTAAGTTTTGGTGGGACTTTGTAGATATTATAGAAGAGAGTTGAGAATAATTGCTTTAGATACCATGGTCCAGATCATTTTTTAATATAGAAAATTACCTATACATAATCTTGACAGTAACTAAAATGGAATAGGTAGTATAAGATCAGAAATATTGAGAACAAATTTTCTGGAGTGTAAGAGTGTCTATATTGGTTCCAAAGGGCCACTTACAACAGATAAAATGATTCTAAGTATATAAGTACCTAGACTTCCATTATCTGCTTCAACTGGAGTGACTCCATTTTATATGCTTCATATATTACACATTTGCATAAAATTACATTAGAGAAAGAGTTCACTACCTAAGTTAAAAAGAAAATTTAAAGTCTCAGTTGTAGAAAAAATATAAGTTCATTGCATTAAGAGAAAACTTGTTCTAAATCTCACTTCAATCATTTAATAACTCAGATAGAAGGATAAAAATCTACTACAAATACAGTACAAAAAATATGCCAAAAAAGTATTTTGTTTTTCTTTTCTTTTCTTTTTCTTTACTTCTTTCTTTCTTTCTTTTTTTTTTTTTTGCAGTACTTGACAAACAGTTGGATCCATACGTTGTAGTTATTGTTACTATTACTTTTATTTTATGGCTATACTCATTTATTTTTAGTTTACAAATATGAATCCAGTCTGGTGTAGGCTCTGAGAATCCAAAAATTAGAAAAAAAATCTTTGTTCTCAAATATGTAGCAATCTGTTAAGGAGAAAAATATGTAACTATTTTAATTACAATAAAATTATTATATTGAGTAAGTGAAAAGTACCAAAATGTGGAGTAAAAATCTGTAAGTCAACCAAATCAGGCAATCTTCAGAAGGCTTTTTATATGAAATTTGAGAATAATGGGAATTTTCTGCTTGGACAAGCCAGGGGAACATATTCTAGGCCAAAGGATAATATATTCAAACTCCAAGAGACACTAGAGAATAAAATATCCTTGGCAAGATTTTATTAAGTCAGAACTGCTATAATGTAAAAATGAATGGCATGACATTAGACATGTAGACAATGTTAGATCACAAAGTATGTTAAATGATGTGCAGAGTTTTTGTTTTCTCAATTATGGGGTAGATACTAAAGATTCTGAGTAGAGTTATACTATTATATATTAATATAAAATAAGCAAAATCCAGTTTTTAATTTTTTAGTATTTTAAAATATTATTTTTTCCCTTATTTTTTTTCTGGATAAATTGCTAATAAAGGATGATAAGGGTTGATTTAAATTATATAGTTTTTTGGATGAAGGTTAATTCATAAGTTTATTTCCAAATGCTCATATTATTTTTGCAGAAAACATTTGGTTGTAGTTATAAATTATATTTATTTTATACTTCTACTTTTAAAAACCCCCGTTTATACTTCAGTTTCAAAGTTTGTGGGACCGTATTTCATATCCTTTGGAAATGTGATTTAAATTTTTGCTTTTAGAAATCAGTTTTGCACTTCAATTCTGAAGGTCATGGCACATTACTTAAAACCCCAAAATGAATGTTTAAAAGCTACCTGTCATTTGTCATTCCTTATAAAAGTTCTCTGACTCTCCATGGACTTCATCCTTAGTTTAATTTTCTCCTTTCATTTCTGCTTACAGAGCTCTTGATATTCCTTGGAACTTCCTAAGTTACTAAGTTTGGGGAGACTTGTTAAGGTCTCTACTGGAAAATCTTTTTTCAGCTTATTAGGCCTTGAGATGCCTGTCAGAGGTATGGTCTGCTCTATGATATCCTGAGAGGATTCTAGGTTACTCAAGTTACTAGTTACTGCATTGGGATAAGGATGAATCTTTGGACTTCAAGGACTGGTTTCAACCTAGAAAGTTTGTCTTGGTGATTATATATTATGAATCCTTTTCATGGAGTCCATAAACCCTTTTAAAGAAGTAGAATATTGTGTGCTCATACATTTGTGTAATTTTCTGTGGATAGTTTCCATAATATTCTCAAAAGAAACTAACTCCCCTCCATCCCCACCAAAAATAAAAAGTTTAAGAATCACTGCTTTTTTACCAAAAGAATATCTTTAGCTAATAATAATTCAGAGAAAGAACAGATAATCACAGTTCCCACATGAGGTGATGCTGTCAAGAAAAGAATCAAGCTCTGGCCATGCTAATCACCATAACTGCAAATCTCTTTAGGTACTAAGTCATTGCTTTCTGTGTATGTATATTTGATTTAACACAGAGATTATTTTTAGAATTACCTATCTAAAATGTTTTTATTTTATTTTTATTTATTTATTTATTTATTTATTTATTTATTTATTTATTTATTTATTTTTAAAGATTTTATTTATTTATTTGAGAGAGAGAATGAGAGACAGAGAGCATGAGAGGGAGGAGAGTCAGAGGGAGAAGCAGACTCCCCGCCGAGCAGGGAGCCCGATGCGGGACTCGATCCTGGGACTCCAGGATCATGACCTGAGCCAAAGGCAGTCGCTTAACCAACTGAGCCACCCAGGCACCCCTAAAATGTTTTTAAAATTGGGAAGGTTACATGTGATATTTTACATAGAGAATGGAGTACTATGGTTAAAAAGATGAGTGAAATATATGATTTTTGCAATGGCATTGGATGATGATTTGAATGTACAATATAAAAAATAGAGTGGAAAGAAACCAGTTTCATATCCATTTCACCTATTTTTAACTTGAAATAGTGTTATCTTAATGGGTTACACTGAAATATATTCATTTTTTTGATGTGTCTCAATATGCTAAAAATTATCTAAGCCATCACTATTTTTATTACCAAAAAGTACTTTTGCCTGAGACATAATTTGAGTTTGATCTAGGAAGGCAGGAAAAACTCTTACCAAAATGAAAGTTATGTATTTTTCTACTCTGCTGTTCTGATTACAATGTAGAATTTTTATTATTTATTCAAAGTAGTATTTCAACTTTAACTTCTTTATAATTAACCATGTTTGTAGCCAAGGAAAGGATATTTTATAAATAGCCACCAAATTTTTATCTCTGGCTATCATAATAAATCATATTTTTATTTTCATCTTTTCCTAAAATATAAACATTGGTTTACCAGGCCATAGCATCTCGTTTATAAGTTGAGGTTTAGTTGTGGATTAGAATCATTGTTAGAGGAGAATCAGTAAATTAGTAAGGAAAGTAGACTTTGCTT